CATAAACACAAAAGAAATCATCCCACAACCTGCGTGCGACATGTTTTGCAGACTGGTTTCGGCAGGGGAAGGCATGTGCCATCTTGGAGAAATGATCGGTTACGACCAGGACATCCACTTTCTTATTATCGCTGAGCTCAGCAGTCCAAAAGTCTATGCACACTAGCTCCATCGGCTCTGACGTCTGGATGTTCTCTAGTGGTGCACAGGCATGAGGTTCAGGTGTTTTTCCAACCACACATCTCTCACACTGTCGAACATGGTTGGTTATGTCTCTCTCCATCCCGACCCAGAAAAACCTCTCACGGGTGAGGGAAAGTGTTCGTGCCTGACCCTGATGGCCTGCATTATTATGAAGGCTGAGGAGGACTTGAACCTTCAGGCTATCAGGAACAACAAACTGAAAAATCTTCTTACTCAAGCGGTGATGCCTTATCACCCTGTACAGGATGCCGTTCTGTACTTTAAGCTTCTTCCACTGCCTGAGAAGTCCACCAACACCACCTGGTTCTGAAGCTGCTTCTCGCCTCGTAGCCTTCCTTTTTCTTCTCACATAGAAAAGGACTCTGTTTATTGCCTGATCTTGTTGCTGAAGGCTCGAGAGCTGGCTTTGGGGAAGAGGAACGACCGGGTCCACCTCAGGGAGCTGTGATAAAGGTGGGTTGACATTGGTCAAACCATGGTCACACTGCGCACTCAGCACAGCTGACACCTCATCAGCATCGATCGAACCCCTCTCGCTCTGAAGGTCGCACTCAGAAACAGAGTCTGGTGAGTCTGGCTCTGTGTCTTGAACAATGTGGCAATTGTTAGTCAGCCGAAAAGCATCCTGCACAGTACCTCTCACAACCCCGTTGACCTCATCTAGCAGGGCAACATAAGGTTCTTTCAGCAAACGATGACCAATACATGACTCGACAAATGGTTCACGGCTCAAAGCATCAGCCACTGTATTTCTAACCCCTGGCACATACTTCAGGTCAAAATCATATGCCGCGAGCTTCGCCACCCATCTCTGCTCACAAGCATCTAAACGTGGCTTTGTCAAGATGTAGGACAAGGGGTTATTGTCTGTCCAAGCCGTGAAGTGCCTTCCTTTCAGCCAGTGGCTGAACTTGTCACACACGGCCCATTTAAGCGCCAAGAACTCTAGTCTGTGCGCTGGGTAGTTCATCTGAGACCGTGACAATGTCTTGCTGGCAAAGGCAACAGGT